TATGAAATGTATAAAATATTCATATTATGTGACGATTAAAAACATAGAAGAGAGGGAGAGGAGAAACAGACCAGAAGCCAGAGCTTTAACAGATCGAGATTTGATCGAAGAGCGAACGACGAATTCAATACTATCTCTGGCACGTGCGAGCTCAGCTCCCATTGAAACGGCACCAAAACGTAAATCACTGCAAATGGAACCCCTTCGGATGCAACGATTAGGATTCAAAGTCGACTTCCGTTCCTTACCTTCACCAAAACAATGTAAATCTCTCCGTTTTGAAATCTCAAACTCTAAATTTCCTTTTATTAAATGCGTAGACGCCTGCATTCTGAATTAGCTAATTCACCAAATGAAAAAGACTGTCCAACCGCCAAGTAAAAACAGTCCGGGAAAAAAGGTGCATTAAAATCCAGAAATAAATATTGAAAACTGAATAACTGAGAAATGACAGTTAGAGTGAGATTACCGAATCGAAAGGAAGATCAGAGAGGAGGAGCCATTTTCGAAGTTCTGTTTGGATGGTGGAATTTTGAAGGGAACCTTCGGAAAATCCGTGGAAGGAGAAGAACAAATTTGGTAGAAAATTCAACTGATTACCACACTCTTCTTTTGCCAGTCATTTTTTCTAAATTAATTTGAATTTAAGAGGATCAAAGCTGTAAAAATTAAAAATACAAACTAAAACGGAAATGGTAATGGTAATCGGGTTCAGTGAGTGTCTGTTTGGATGGATCTGCGATCACGTGGCGTGGATTTTGGATTTAGATTTGCAGAAGCAGTTGCGTTGGCGATGGACTTGCCGCCAAGGAGTGCCCTTCCTTCGGTGACCCGGTTTTGTATTATAACTAAGGCATATAGTTAAAATTAGCCTTCTTCATCTTTTATTAAAAATACAATTTTAATTTTTATATAATTTTCAAATATTTTGATCTTTAATATTTAATTTTTTAACTAAAACAATCTTAAATAAAAATTATTAGTTAATAAATTATCATTAATGATTGTGTTAAGGAGATTCGTAATATGTACTATAGATTTACTACATACGTCAGGACTACAGTTGGCGACACCGAGACATTTTCGGTGGAGATCGGACTCTACCAGGAGTCGGCTCTTAGCTCTTACATCTTCGCCTTGATTATAGATGATATCTATTGTGCGACACCAGACGGTGTCCATGGTGTATGCTTTTCGCTGACGACATTGTCCTAGTCGCTGAAACAAAAACTGAGCTGAATAGTAGACTAGCTACCTGGAAGATTGCTTTAGAAGAAAAACGTCTAAGGATTAATATTGAAAAGACAGAGTATTTATGTTCAAACTTCAGTGGGAACCAAAACGATGAAGATGTAGATGTATGCATTGAAGGACACGTTCTCCTCTCAAAGGATTGTTTCAAGTACCTAGGGTCTATGATACATAAAGATGGGGGTGTAGATGATGACGTTACACACCGTATAAAGGCGGGATGGCTAAAGTGGATGGATGCTATTGGAGTTTTGTGTGACAAGAAGGTGTCTCTAAAACTTAAGGGAAAATTTTATAGAATGGCAATAAGACCAGCGCTGCTGTATGGATCAGAATGTTGGGCAATCAAGAAGGATCGCGTAAGGAGGATAGAGGCCGCAGAAATGAGAATGCTTCGATGGGCATGTGGTAGAACTTTGTGGGATATGACACCAAACTCTGCAATTAGGATGTCCTTGGAGGTGATGCATGTATCCGAAAAATTGAGGGAGGGAAGACTACGGTGGTTTGGGCATGTCCTTAGGCGACAAATGTCGGATGCGGTCAGGAGGGTAGATTCGATTACAGTCAACGTTGCCAGAATGAGAGGACGACCAAGGAGGAAGTGGGTAGACTGCTTGAGATTTGATTTAAAGGATTTAGCCCTTACCGAGGACATGACCTCTGATAGGAAAGTATGGAGACTTAAGACCAGGGTAGCCGAGTAGTGTGGGTCACAACCATAGGGTGTAACATATATGTCTGCTTTTTAATGCCTTTGTATTAATTTCCATGACTTCTACTTTTTATAGGTTTCTGTCATTGGAATTTATGAAGGCTTCGAATTAGGGTAACAAAGTAATTGTGCCTTAGTTATAGGTTATAACCCATTTGACTTTATTCCTTCTCGTAGCTTGTTATCGCTGAATTATGTGTATCCTTCTCTGCATGTTTCCTCCTTCTAAATTTAGCCGGGACTTACGTTTCTGTCTATATGCATATATTTTTACGCAGGGATTTATTTGCGGGGATTAATTTCAATACAGACGCGCATATGAAGACTGTTCAACTATGTATTTATTTATTTATTTATTTATTTATTTATACATACATGTAATTTATCTTTATTTTTATTTTTCTGACTGTCGGAGGTCTTCAGCAGAAGCTGCTCTCAACCTGGCGTTGGGGGCAACCTACTACCCTACCTCCCCCTTACCTCATTGCATATGGGAATAGAGTTTTGTTGTTGTTGTTGGTTGTTTTAAGGAGATATATATTGTGGAAAATATATTTTCTATATATATTGTGTTAAGGAGATATCATATCTGATTTATTAGTTAAGATAAGTTAAAACAAAACTATAGAACAAGAGATATTCGACACTCCTCCTCTCTAATTGGTTGTGTCGATGCAGAAATAAACAATACAATTTTCACTAAATTAAATGTCCTTGTTAAATAAAAGAGTAAAGTATAAAAAAAGTCCTCGACAATATGGTGTTGTTTCGTCGACTCTTCTGACTATTAAAAATTACATAATGATCCTCGATTAAACAAAATTATAAAGTATAAAAATGGTTCTCGATTGTATGATGTCGTTTTGTTGAATCATCTGACTATTAAAAATTACATAATGATCCTCGATTATAGGACAATATTTTTTTGAATCCTTTGAATATTAAAAGTTACAAAATGGTCATCCAACTATATGATGTTGTTTTGTTAAGTTCTCAAGGCTTTCGCACTGATTAATCTGGACTGTCTTGTGTTACACACCTGACTTTGAAGGGTGAGTCTCCCAACGAAAATTTTCGAGATACACAAAGACTCAAATTCAAAACCTATTGAATAATATTAAGTTGCTTATCACTTAAACCAATTCGTTAATAATTTTTTCTTTTTAAAAAGAAAAATATAGGGTTGTTAAGTAGTCGAGCTCGACTCAACTCGAAAACTCGCGAGCCTAAAATTTTCAAGCTCGGCTCAAACTCGAAACCATAGACTGAAGCTCGAAAAAGCTCAAAATGAAAAAAATCTTAAACTTAACTCGATTGAAACCTCAAACTCAAACTCGAACCTGAACCTTAAATACGTTAAAATCTTGTACTACATTTTTTTTAAAAAATAACATAAAATATTAATATTATTAATAATTTATTTAAAAAAAATAAAATCTTAATTTATTATATTTTTAAGCTGCTCACGAACATTTCAAATAGAATATCAAATAATTTTTTTCGACTTGTTAAAAACTCGTGTTAACTCCATTTGAGTTAAATATTTATCAAATTTTGGTCTAATTAATTTCGTATAACTCATAACATATTTCATTTACCGTCCTAGAAAAATATAGTACTGTCTTTTAAGGAACACACAAAACAATGGCACTTGTTTTAGACTAGACCAAAGCAGTACTAAACTGGGAAGCCTTAGTTACGTCGTAGCTAGACCCATGATCGAATGATTTTATCCAACGGCTGATATAATATTCCGTCGGGACCCACATAAAAATAAGAACGTTGGAAACAATATGAATTTAAAACTGAAAACAAATTAAATAAATCCATCTTATGTTCTCTTTTTATTTGACCGTTGCAAACTCAATATCTTTATCACATGAAAAAACTTCCAATTTCATAAAAAATGGCGGGCACGATCGATTCTCTGCATCAAACCCATCATTCAAATCCTTCTTTTCAACCGCTTTTACATTTCCTCGACCCCATTTCTCTCATTCTTTCGCAGAATCGTATAATTGAAAGAGGCCCCAGATCCAGTGCATATGCTGAATTGAGAGAAAACATGCTGAGAATGAAGTTTGAGCAGCTACAAGAGTGGGAAGAAACCGAAATCAAACAATCCCCAGTGAAGAAACAAGTGGAGTTCAATTCGAATTCGGGGGTTACCGTTAAACGGTCTTCTGTTTTGATGCAATCGGTGCCTGATTTTCCATCCACTTTACTGAAAGAGAACCGGAAGCCGTCGGTTACCGGTTGGATTGAATCGACCCCGCCGAGAACGTCAAAGAATTGGTCGAGAGCGAAGCAACAAGAAACTGAATTTAAACAAACACCAACCAAGAAACAAGTGAAGTTCAGTTCGAATTCAGGGGTTTCCAGTATAAGGCCCTCTGTTTTGGCTCAATCGGTGCCGGATTTTTCTGCCACTTTATGGAAAGAGAACCGGAAGCCGGAGGCCATGGGCCGGATTGAAATGAAGCCTCCGTCAAGGGGAAAGAATTGGTCAAATTCTGGGGAGAAGAAGGGAAGGTTGGTGATGGCGAGGAAGAGTTATGCAAGTGTTGATGAACTGAAGGCCATTAATGGCGGAAGCAGGGGACTGAAGAGTAGTGCCAGATTGTTTTAAAAAAGAGAGAGGAAGAAAGCTCTGAATTTGAAGGATTTTGGTTACTTAGTTCCCATATTTTAGATAGATTTGAGGTTAAAAATTCTTTTATTGATTAGTTTGTTATTTTCAAGAATTGATTGCCAATAAAGAGGGTTTCCTGCTATATATATATAAAAACGCAGATATACAAACTATCAAGACCATTAAATGATGGGGTAATTTGCCTTCCAATTTAGGGAACAACTAATGAGTTCTTCAAGCTTGTTCAGCTATTAATGGAGTTAAAAGTTAGAAGATGAAAGATTATACAGGTACAAATGCTCGTATACAACATAAACTCTAATGTAACAAAGCAAAAATACCATCCTCCATTCCATCTTGTGTTACTAGACTCAGTTCTGGCAAACTTCCAATACAGGTGTGTCCACAGTTATATCCCCGAACCCATGTCCGAATATTGTGTTGAAGACGAATATTTCAAGTAAATAAAGGGCAACTTAGATCCATCTTTTACAGAAATTCACCACCTTGGTCTTGATCAGAATTCAAAACTATAATTTACCGATTGCATGTTAACATGATATACAAGATACTCACAGATCACAGGGACTGTATGCAATTTGTGGGGAAATCAGGTCGTTGACAATTTCGTTGATTGTGTTTTGAAGTATATCCCAATCAATTTCAATACCAGTTTCGTATGCCTCGATATCGAAATCTGTCCATTTCCCCAGTGAATAACTCATCTCATATTCTATAAGTTCAACAGGTACCATCCCAACTAGTCTTATCCACCTTTTAACTTCGACTGCAACATCTCGAATCAGCTTTCCTGAGTTCATGCAATATGGTAAACTTCTCCAAGGTCTGAATCCCGAGTTACAATATGGACCATATTTGGAATCTATACACTCTATTGCACAGTCGAACAGAAATCCTCGAAGCTGATTGTTTTCTTTGAGTTGATCGATACCAAGAACAGACTTGAAATCTACCTGCATGATAGTGACAAGAGTCTCGACTTCATCGTATATACAAGGAGCCAGGAGAAAATCATCTGTCCTACTCGAATTTCCAAACAACAATTCTGCTTTCAGGATAACCTCTTTAGCATGGATAAGCTTGTCACCAGATAAAGCGAGACCAAAATTACTGACAACATTAAACATTGCAGAAATTCGGTTGACAAGATCAATGATCATCTCATTAACAGTTGTTTCATTGTCCAATGAAGTTACAGAATCCAGAATATCCACATCAAGTTCCGTTTGATGTTGTTCATCATACGAGAAATCCGTGGAATCCGGTTGTAACCTATGTCCTGAATCAAATAAATACACAAAAAACTAAAGTGAAAGATTCTTTTTCCCCAATGGAGGGGAACAGAAAAAGCACATAATTTAATAATTTATGCTATGTTTGGTTAGGCAAGTATTAACACAAGGAAAAGCTTAATTTTTACATGAGTTAAAATAGTTTGTCACATAAAGCTGAGTAAAAACTAAGTAAAAAATAATAAATATTCAAAATAAATTATTAAACGGATCTAGTCAGAGCAGTGCATGAACTCATTTTAATCTGCATTTTCTAGTACTACAATACTGCATAAGTTCCTTGAATAGCACACACATTTCTTGACCCAAAAATAAAAGGGTTCATTTAAGGCTAAGGTTTTGAATTTTTACCTAAGCTTTCATTGAGGCTGCTGGTAACAAAACTGTCGTTCGAAAATGAAGCTTCAAGAACAGAACCAGGGCTAAAATGATTACCGTGGTTGGCAAATCCTACTGAAGTTTCAGCCTTTGCTTCAGTCTAAGAAATAAGGAAATAATATTTTAGAAAAACGAAATGTCAATTTATAAGTGGCAGGAAAAGCTGTTATCATATTCACAAACCCTCAAGCAACGCACAAAAGCTTCATATAGACATGGAAAAAAATCATATTAACACCCAAAAACTACTAATCAAACTTAACGTAAAAGCAATACAAAATATACAGATTGGCAACATCCATAAATATTACATTCGACGGTTCCACAGTATCTACGAAATATCCATAAATATTCAATGGCTTAAGTCAATGAGCTGCAATCTTCAACAACTGTAGCTATGCTAAACCAGTCTTGTTCCTATTCAATGGGGTTTCGAATATGGGACAAAGTTTCGAGTTAAATTGCAGATTTTATGAACTCTGGTTAATCTAATTCTGAAAGGCATAGCTTTCTTCAATTAATTTTTGTCATTTCAGTAGCAATTAGGCAGTGTACTTATCCAAATGTACATGGAAAAAGTCCAAATTATCAAGGCACATGTCGTACAGAGACATCTAAAACAAAAGTTGAGACCAAATATACAACATCAGATTCAGTGGATAAACCAGTGGAAGGACAATTCAGTGCCTCAGAATAAACACCAACCTGGAAACCGATATCTGAACTGAAAAGGTGACCACTCCGAGAGTTAGGCTGTCCTGATGTTAAAGCAGAAATTAACTCCTGGAGAATTATGGCAGTTGATCTCTTCGGTAGGGTGCAACCAGTTTTTCGTTCATCCTCCTCTTGAGAAGTCAATTCCTTCAACTTTTGTTTCAAAAGTGCACTTAAATCATCTTCTGTCAGCGGCAAGTTCTTCGGCAAAGATATTTCTCCGTAATTGTTCTCCAATATTTCACGTCTTTGGAGGACAATGCTTTCATTTGGGTTCTTTCTTTGCTCCTTCAATTCCATGGAAAATCCGTGCTTTTGCTTTAATGGAGAACTGAATGTGAAAGAAATAATATTGGTATCCTTTTTATCCATGGCTCCCTTACCAGTTCTTTGGCTCGTTGATCTGCTTTTAACACATGTCCGGTCCATGCTGCAAGCTCCATGTACCATTTCTCGTCTAGTCACCGGATTGTATTTATCATTTTTTTCTTTACCAATAGCTGAATTGATGAAACCAGTAGTTTCTGCTTGCCCATTAACACTATTGGTCCTCCTCTTTCTTACTGTAGACCGTAGATGAGACAAGGAGTCATCTAGGCCCCTGCAGGAATTTCTCTCGATTTCAATAGGAGCACTATCCACTTTGCTTGGCACTCTATGTTGGGTTCGACTACTTGAACTTCGGTTCAGCGCAACAAAATCTTTGGCTCTGCTAACAGCATTTGTGCTGGAAACACCTTTCCTACTCGGAAGATTATTTAATTTAGCCTTCGCTGGGATTCTATCCGTGTCTAGTGATATATGATTATGACTTTGATTCCTCAGCTTGTTAGCAACATGAGACTTCTCATTCCTTTGGGATTTGCCAGATTGGCCTGTTAAATGCCATTGAGCTTGAGCTTCTTGAGATAGAGGACTTCTAAATGTATCAGAATCATTACTTGATTGTACACTGTTATCTTCTTGGCTAGTAAAAGATAATGGTTGGTCGTGGCTTCTCTGAAAAATTCCCTCTTTCCCTTGATCAAACAAGGTCGGGGAAGGCCTCGGCCATTTCTTTTCTAATCCCTGCAAAGAAACATCAGTAAAATTCGGTGCAGAGGAAGGAATAACAATTGGCTGATCCTCTGACTTTGCTCTAGACTCCACAACGTCAAGCAAATTGCCACAGTTCTTGCATGATGTCGGGCCAATCAAAGACTTACCAATACTAATATTACATGCAGATTGTTCCAACACATCTGGTGACACAACCTGAATTCCCTCAGTCGCAGCCACATTCTTACTCGAATAAGCAAGAGAATATTTCGCTCGATTTGTTGCTTGCAACCCTGGCTCCAATATTTTAGTAGCTGCATCGATCAACCTCGATGTCCTAGAAGCATTCCTTGCCGAAGAAATCCTCAAACTCTTTACCGAAGGAACAAACTTTTGATGATGATGCTTCTTCGATAGCGACAAAACATTCTAATTTGTAATGCCTCAGCTCCAAACCTAGTGACAATCCGTCTATCATATGACTCTATTTTCTGAATCTTCGGAGGCCGAAGCTCGATCTTAGAGCTACTTTTAGCTAAATCCAAATCTTTCCCGCCTTGAAAATTCACCACTTTCTCATCTTTAAGATCAGAATTACTACCTAACGGCAGCGCTTTTCTATGAGGCTTATCTCCATTCAAAGCCGGCATGGCTTCTAATCCCATTAGCCTAGCAACCAAACCAGGAGCTTTCATTTCATGCTTTTGATCCGTTTCTCCTTTACTAAAATGTTTACCATTTTTCTTCACATTGGGAAAATCCCCACAGTTCTCATCAGCAATCTACCGAAATTCCTCATAAACATCAACTTTATTATCATTATATAAGCAAAATAAAAGACTAATTTATGAACTAAAAAACACCAAAAAATATATCTAATAAATTTCCGTGAACATACCAAATGCAGCTTGGATTTGGGCATTTTTTCACCTCCTCCAAAGCTTTTTGAAGCTTTAGTTCGGGCTGAGAAACAATGACAGCTGATTACAAATTCCATTTGAAAAAGAAAAACATAAAATTTTCAAAAACAATGAAAGAAGAAATAAACTTTCGAGGAGAGAGTAATTTTCTTGAGAAAAATTTCTTCTTTGCAAATCTTTTGTTCCAATCAAAGAGTTGAAAGAAAATGCCGACACAACCACCAGGCCTATAAGGCTTCTTCTCCGTTATAGTTTTCGCGGTCCGTTCATTCATTTTGCTTAGCACCGACACAAAAATAATTATCCAGAAAAATTCTTCAAAAAAAAACCCCCAAGGAAATGCCGAAAAGGTCTCTAGTTTTAATCAGACAAACACACCCAACAATCTAAACCAATCTCATTCCAACCCACCATACAAAAATCTAAACCATTAAAGAACAAAAAGAGATGGAAAAGACCCGTTAGTTTTAACGAAAGCACAGGGAGGCCTGACAGTGGTGAAAAGGAGCAATGTAGCAAACGAGCAAGAGAATCTAGGAAGAAAAAAAGAACAGGAAAAGCCGTACAATAATGGAGAGGAAGAAGAGCGGAGAGAAGATGACAAGAAAAGGAGCAGTGAAAAGGAAAGGGTTCTCCACTGTTTAGTCGGTATTTACATGTCTTGACGCAAAGGTAAAACGATTCTTCGCATAAAAAGAGAAGGAATTATGGGATGAAAAAGGATGAGAAAAATGGGGTGTGTTTTATCGGATTGAAAAGACCGATGAAACGAAAAAAGGTTCGGAATGGATTTTGGACGGAACTGGTGAAAGTGTCGGATTGCTTTGAAAACGCCTAATCTTCGCCTGCTGTTGCCGATCAGTTTCTGCTTGCTTCAGAAAAAAGCTACAGCTGCTATGTACTAAAACTATAAGCTTTCAACACTGGAAATTATATTATTATATCCCAAATGGTTGAATTTTTATATAAACAAAAAATATGCTATTATTAGTGAATTACTAATTATACAAAAAAATATATTAAATTGTGTAGAATTACATTAATTTATAACATATTTCTTCCGGACATTAGATAAAATTTGTTGTTGTTTTTTAAAGTGAATGAATTCAATGAAAAATGATTATGTAATGATTGCCTGAAATCTATTTAATATATTTCTATCAAGATTTCACTTATTCACCTCCTTACTTTAATCCTTCCTAACTCCACCCTCATGTTGTTTTAGAGCAAATTAAACTTCCCTTAAGCTTAACTATTGTCTAATAGTCATAAATCAACTATAAATTCATCAAGAAATTCTCTAACAATAGATCTTACCTTTAGCTTGGGTCTCACGTATGAAGAAGAAGAAGAGGAGGAGGAGAACTCTGGAAATTGTTTTTGGTTTCCTATACTTCCACGTGGGTTAATATAATACTAACCTAAATAATTAGCTTGCTATAAAAAGACCATCTTGTCATTCTAATCCTCATTCTTTTTAAATTGATCCTACACAATATAGCTAAATAGTAAATACATTTGCAAAATACAGTAAGATCGTAATACAATCTATTAATCTACACTATTATTCGACCATCAAATCAAATTGTATAATCTAAATATCTAAATTATATAATTCAAACATAAACTTTAAACATTCAAATTGTATAATTCAAATATAAAATTTAAAAGCCTAAATAAAATGCAACTAAAGAAATAAAATTCATTATTCTGGAAATTCATTACTATGAAACTTCATTTGTCTCATTAATGAAAATTGTTGGTTGTTCCAAAGTCAAATCTTTTATCTCTATAAAAAATCAAATCTACATAAATAAAAATAATATATGTTTAGAAATATAATTATTTAAATATATCAACTATGCAAATAAATATTACAAAATAAAAATAATAAATTTAAAATTGAAAACTAACCTTCTTCCATATTCTCTAATGCTAGCAAGCTCTCCTCTATCATAATGGGGTCATGAGAAGAACGAACCCAATCTTGAGTACAAATAAGGGTTTCCACCAATCTAGGAGTCAAAGAGGTACATAAAGAATCAAGAACACGTCATCCCTTGTTAAAAAGCGGATTCCGAAGCTTTGATAGAAACTGGAATTGCAAGTATATCACGTGTCATGCTCATAAGAATAGGATAGTTATTTGTTTGCACATACCACTAATCAGGATATCAAAATTATCATTATCATGAACACATGTAGCCCCCAAATACCTGTCTAGCTCAGTTGTCGTTTCAGAATTATCATTTAATTCCATCTCAGTCATATAGTCATTTCTTAAATTTGTTTCTTTTAACTTCCTTATTTCTCCCTCACCACCATGGCTATTAGAATTAGTACCCAAAGAGTACGATTTCATTTGAGTTGACAAATGATGCGAAGAAGCATACAAATTAAACAACTATGTCAAAGTATCTTTAATTCGTTAACACAATACAAAAGAGTTGTTAGGATCATAAGAACGACGAACAATCCACTCAACATATCTTAACTTATGCCTATGATCAAGTATTAAAGCAGTAAACTTCAACACATTCAGATTATTGACATTCACCCAATACTTATCAAATTTCAACTTCATTTGATGTGCTATGCTTTTAAGTCCATCATTCAAGTCATCAATATAACAATTGATTTTATACCCAATATCATATATTTATTCCACAAAGGTATTAACGGTCACATACCTTGATCCAGAGAAACTGTTGAAAACATTTTGAAGTTTCGATATAACAAATTAAGTTAAATGAATTTTAAGATTTTACAAAAGATTTTCTAAGTATATTCGATGTAATTATTCGAATATCAAAGTATTACTCCAAGTCTTTCAAAGTTCATTTTAATCCTTACTAAAGTGTAAAATTGTGTTTTATACTTCAACTATTTTAAAACAATTTTACAAAGTATTTCGAGCCTTAATCGAGCCAAAAATATTTTCTTTTTAAAGGGTTTTAAGAAAAATCAGATTGCCCAGGGGGAACAGATTCCCACCCCAGGGGGAACCGATTCCCCCCCAGAGGGTACCGATTCCCCCTTGTCTAACGGTCAAAAACAGATTGCACTTAGGGAACCGATTCACCATGAAGGGGTATCGATTCCCCCCACCCTCCAAGCTATTTTATTAATTGTTTCTCATCCCCAAATGGCTCCAAAACATCCCCAACGACTATATACGACTTCAAACACATTCCATGCTATAAATACAAGCTAAGGACACTTGAAGAAGCAAGAGAACAACTGTAACATCCTCCATGTCGGGTGAGTGATTGATTTGCAAAGTTTCAACATTTGGGGATTAAAGTAGAATGATTATATAGTTTAAAAATAAAGGTTAGTAAATATGAAATGAAGGTAGGGACCAAATGGTCATTGGTAAGGAAAATTTTAATTAAAATATAATGTTATGGGGTATATATGATACCCACGTGTGATTTTAGGTTCCAGAACCTCCCATTTCTTCTTCATTCTTCCTTACTTTCTTCTCTTCTTCCTCCAACCGTGGGCTTGCAATTATAGGTAAGAAACTGAACTTGGTAGTTTCTTGGATTGTTAAGATTGGAAATGAAAGTTGGTATGTTATATAAGATAAAGGAAACCTTATATGACATTAAAACAACAAGATAAGTGATTTAGAGAATGATTTGGAAAATGAGTTTTTAGATGAAATCTTGATAGGAATGAGTTTTTAATGTTTGAATCAGATTTTTGACTTGTCAATAAGCTAATTAAGAAGTATGAAGTAATAGAATTGAAATTAGAACAAGTTGAAATTGGAGTAAGATTCTTCAATTCTATATGGATGAGGAGTTTTCTTAGTTTAGAGGTATTGAATGGTAATAATTAGTTTAAATAAGTGTATGAGAGCTAAGAGTGTTAAAGGGATTGAAATAAGTATGTTTGAGCTGAAATTAGATGATTTCCGGGCTCAAAATAGGATTTCTGGGTTAGGGGAATCGGTACCCATTCAAGGGGAACCGATACCCCTTCAACGAAATGAATTTCCAGAATGCAAGAGGGGAATCGATACCCCCAGGGGGGGGAACCGATACCCCCTCATCGTTTATGAAATTCCAGATTGCTTGAGGGGAATCGATACCCCCAGGGGGGGAACCGATTCCCCATGAGAAAAAGAAGCAGAAAGAAAAGAAAGCAAGACTAAGCTATAAATTCTTTAAATTAGTAAGCTATTAAAGCTTAATTGCAAGACATAGACATCTGATGATCATCTTAAAAATTATGTTTATGTAGATACCGAGCCTACTCGAGTTCGGGAACAATCTACAAGTAGGATCGATCGAGGAAAAGGCAAAGAAGTATAGGTGAGTGCATATGCATAGCATGAATATAGTAGTATATTCAGTTCTAGACTTGTGATAAGTCTAGATTCCTATTTTGACATATGATTACATTCCATATTATGATACATGACATGAATTTGTATTAAATGTATTACATGACATGAATTCATATATGTATTACATGACATGATTATGCAGAAAAGTTATATGCACTATGTGATAAAGGTATGTAAATGATATGCCTATGTGTTAAAGGTATGGAAATACTATGTCTACGCGATATGAACTACGGGAAATGTAAGCCCATGTTATGTAGATGAGAACTATAGGTATAGTTGGCATGCCAAGGGTAGAGGGTATACTCGGTTCTTTAGGACATATGTATATCCTTTGGAACCTGTGTGAAGTCTTAAAAGACACATACTTGATCCATAGTATATGTATATGATTCTTAAGGAATTCTACGTGATCCTTATGGACATAATTCTACGGGCACTTCGGTGCAATTCTACGGGCACTTCGGTGCAATTCTACGGGCACTTCGGTGCATTTATACGAGCTGTGGTGACAGCATAGTGCACAACCTCACATTACTCAAATACCTTAGGTTCTCAATATGCTATCATGGGCCAATAAACTTATTAATACTGAATAATGAATGTTACAGTCATACGCTTACAGGTATGGATATTGATGAAGTATACTACATTGATTAGTTACATGTTTGCATCTCATCTCATATGATCCTGACATTTTCATTACATTACATTGCCTTATTATTGTTGCCTCACTAAGTCGATGACTTAGAGTGTGAGTGTTTCACACGTAGGATCCGAGGAAAATAGAAGAGACAGGTGAAGCAGCTTGACAGTATTACTCCTGCAACCATCAGATCAGAAGCAACTTATCAGTAGGTTATTTTGTTATGTAAATAGCAGTTGGCATGTAATTAAAGAGTTAAGTTGTGTATGCTCTGAATATTTTTGTAAACTTATATTACAGTATGTATATTATTGTATTTTCTTAATACAAGTCCCAATATTTTACTATTATTTATTAAGAGTTGTGTTTTAAAGTCAATGTAGTATCTCTGACTCATATCCGGGTCGGGTATGGGTTGGGGGTGTTACATTTAATGGTATCAGAGCTATGGTTTAGCCGATTCTAGGCATAAACCAGAGTCTATGGAGTCTTTAAATGGAATACATGCCAACAAATAGTGAGAACTTCTGATCTGGTATAGTATGAGTATGCTGTTTTGTTAATAGGATAATGTGTTTATTCTTATTAGATGTCCGGACATAATAGCTCCCGAAGTGAAGCGGGAGAAGATAGGCATGCTGAAAGCAGTAATTCACCTGCCCTGGCCAGGCAAGGTGAAGGACATGCATCTCAAGGAGTGCCTGTACAAGATCAAGATACGTTCTTCAGAACGTTAGACGCTATTCTGACGCGTCTTCAACCTCCTGCTCCACTAACTCCAAGAATTAATGTAGCAAAAGAATTGAGAAGTTTAGGAGCTCCCGAATTTAAGGGA